GTATCAAACCAATACGTCAGGACGTCGCCTCTCCAGTGATTATCGGATCACATCATAGCTCGGGACGTCGCCTCTCCAGTGAATACCGGATAACACCAATACGCTGGGACGTCGCTTCTCCAGTGATTACAGGATCATACCAACAGGTTGGGACATCGTCTCTCCAGTGATTACGGGATCACACCAATACGTCAGGACTTCGCCTCTCCAGTGATAGCCGGATCACACAAAATAGGTCGGGACGTCGCCCTTTCAGTGATTACTGGATAATGTCCCATCGGGGATTCTCGGGTTTTATTATCCCAGACTACAGTCGGAAAGGGCAGACAAAAACTGATTANATATCTGATCGCATCATAGCTTGGGACGTCGCCTCTCCAGTGATTACCGGATCACACCAATACGTCAGGACGTCGGCTCTCCAGTGATTACTGTATCACACCAACAGGTCGGGACGTCGCCTCTCCAGTGATTACCGGATCACACCAATACGTCAGGACGTCGCCTCTCCAATGATTACCGGATCACATCATAGCTCGGGACGTCGCCTTTCGAGTGATTACTGGATCACACCAATACGTCAGGACGTCGCCTCTCCAGTGATAACTGTATCAAACCAATACGTCAGGACGTCGCCTCTCCAGTGATTATCGGATCACATCATAGCTCGGGACGTCGCCTCTCCAGTGAATACCGGATAACACCAATACGCTGGGACGTCGCTTCTCCAGTGATTACAGGATCATACCAACAGGTTGGGACATCGTCTCTCCAGTGATTACGGGATCACACCAATACGTCAGGACTTCGCCTCTCCAGTGATAGCCGGATCACACAAAATAGGTCGGGACGTCGCCCTTTCAGTGATTACTGGATAATGTCCCATCGGGGATTCTCGGGTTTTATTATCCCAGACTACAGTCGGAAAGGGCAGACAAAAACTGATTAATTTCTAAGTATATCAATTTCCAACTTTCACGGGACACTAGCCGGAATGGGTGTGTATAATACACAAAGCATAACTATACATGGCCTGTTTACCTGTTAATATTTGATATGTCGATCGCTTACGTTTAAAAAATACATTCCCTCCGGGCAGTTCACTAGACCAAGGCTAGCTAAACAAATAGACGAATCTACATATACATGAATACACAAATATATCTGGTCTGCTTAAAGAGAAGGAAATCATCACTGGATAAGAAAAACCTATTTGTGTAAGTACGGCCTTGTTATGGACGCTAGAACTGTTTTGTAATTTCTCAACAACCACATGCGAGAGAAACTTCAGGATGTCCACAATGATTGAATACTCTCGAATGCAGGAATTATATTTTTAGCATCTAAATAAAATAATCAAAAACGACCGATAGAAATATGCTCCACAGGGATCCCCCCCCCCACACCACCACCAAGAGGAAAACATGAATTATTTATCATACAGGACAGTAAGAAATCATAATTGTCAAGCCAGTTTCTTTGGAATGTGATGTATAGAAGAGCATTTGTGCAAACATGTGAACGCCGCTGTGCAATCGGAAACCATTGGTTTTTCCGTAGTTATACTCGTTTAGTTACGGGAAGTGCCGAACTAGTTTCTCGTTTACGGAAAGTGCCAACGGTTCCCGATTTCCCCACTCTGCTGCCTAGTGGTTACAAGTTCCTTTCCCGAGACAAACGCAACTTGATAACGTTGCTTAGTAGCATTCCGTCATCGCTGGACAGGCATGATAGATTAGTAGACGAACCCTCGACCCTATGCTACGACGAGGGGCACATCAACCACTATGCCACCATTTAAATCTTCTAGACTCGAATGTTTACTTTAATATGACAGGGCAGATATCAATTCGAAGGCACGCTCAAGTGTCAGTCACCCTGGCTGCCGTAACTCATTATTTAGTACGCTATAAAGGTCTCACCAACAGGGACCTGATAATTTGTTATAATTTAGTTATATTTGGGCCTAACCTTATGTGTTCAGTATAATTGTAAACGTTTAGGGGGTTTGATAACTTTTTAGTAAGTTGATCTTGATAATTCTTAGCGAGAACTGCTCTAAACCTTTAATAGTATCATATTAACACACCAGTTTAGTACTCCAAAAAGCCAAACTGTAACGAATTATCAGGTCCCTGTGATCTCGCTGTATTTGCTTAAGATCAACAGCCTTCCGAGAGGTTAATAATACATCTTCTTTAAACAATAAAATCAATGAAAAAGGGTTCTCGACTCGTTAGCTTAGTAGAGCGCATGGCGTCCGAACCAGGGGTCAAAAACACGGTTCATATGTGGATGGTAAAGTTAATGTTGGCAAAAACGTCTCTCTGATAAAGATGTTTTAATTTGTGGTTCATTGTTTAACCGAGCAGATATTCAATTCAGTTTCAGTTTATTCCAAAAGCAGTACAGCTTATAGGAGTCATAACATACGTGTGTTTAACATGGTAAAATTAATGATATACAAGATAACTCGACATAATACCGCAGTTAGGTACCTTGTGCTGGGGCAGCCAGTCCCCATTTTCGTAAGACAGTTTCCGAGAGACTCGGGCGATAGTTCCGTAGTACATATGTACTTTTATAAAAAGTATTAAATTATTTACACGCCACTTTTAGATTTAAAAGTTATTTAAGTACTTTTTTTTAACTCAATGAATATAACGGAGGCCAGTTGTGAAATAAGAGTATTCCATATGCCTGCATGGGGGCGGGGGTAGGCAGCTTCTGGATTAGAGATAAATAGAATATATCACTCTTGCGCATTATTCATCTAAGGGACTAAGCGCCAGCAACTTGTTGACACCTGGGACATGACGTAGTTCTCCAGTATCACCAACTATATCACGACGACTTTTAGTCTCACATAGCTACACAAAGACATTTGTTTATTGCGATGCTATACTATAAAAAAACTTCTCTACATGTGTACATGACGTCATCATGACGTCAGACGTCTTTTACTAAGTTTAGTGCCAGTTACCTGGTTATCATTTTTGAAATTAGAACTGTTCACAATAGGTTGCCAAATAGTATAATATATATAAAAAATATGGTAACGATTCCTTTTGGATTGGGTGTCGGGGTTTGGTTTTGGCGGTTCCAAATTCCTTCATGTGGTGCTTTCAAAATAGCGGAAATGAGGGAAATTACTATTCTCGAAACTCCGGGGGTTATGCTAACGTTAACGTGTGCTCTCTGCAGATAGCGTAAATGAGTATAACTCCTAAGAGTATCTAGGAAGGAAAATACAGGGTTTTTTTTTGGCGGGGAGGTGCTTTATTCATTGATTCAGCCATTTTCGTTCTAGAAAATGCCAAATTACTTGAACAATTTGTTGTAAAATACATAATACATACAATATGTCCCCCAAAACACTGATTGATTAGTGGGACATTTTGTCGACTCACCTCAATTGTAACGGTAAACAAATTTGTATTTGTAAACAATCTGTGCTCAGTTGTTCAACGGCTGGTTAGCTTAACGTCAACTTAAAACAAACTAAATTTCTCCTCACAAATTAATGAAATTAAGAACTAAATTTGGACGAACATGCATCTTAATAGTACTAATAAAACCCAGCCGGGCTATCAAATCGATCCCATGCCTTGTAATGGAGCAAGCCCGGTGTGAATCACACCGGAGCGATTTTAGAATTAATTGACAACACATTGGTCCGCATCAAAAATAGGGTTGCAATATGAACTATTACTGTTGATATCCTATATAACTTCAAGTTAAACTCTGCTTAAAATGTCGTCAAATTATCAAGTGAACGTCGAAGGGGAATCGAAATCTGAATTGACCGCAATGTTGGAAACCTCGTAGGGTCAGTTATGACCCAATATGGAAATTTTAGTAAACATGACGGCATCAGAAGTAATACTTTATTTGGCCGTGAAGGCCATTCCATATATATAATAGAAAGGAAAATTGAGATAACATCACGCGTGATCTGTCATGGCGGTCGTTACCCCCCCCCCCCCCCCCCAAGATGAACTTGGCTAATTTCGTGAAAGAGCTTTTTTTTTATTAGTAAAGATTCGTTTTTTCATCAATTATGCAATATTTTGATAAAAAACATTATACTCATATGAGGCGTGAATTATATGTAATCCTACAGATAAACATTTTTGATTTTGCTCCGTTTGTTGGCATTGGACCGCTTCGTAGATCTGACGACGCAATTTATTAAAAAAAAATCTCGTCGTCAGAAAGCTACGTAATCGCAGCTAGCGTCTTAATTGATATTTCAGTAAAAGATACATAAAATATTCGTTGATATTTTTATATATTTTTTAAATATATAGCGATTAGCAAGTTTTATATTAAATATTCTGTAAGCTAACCAAGCAGGCAGTCGGAACACACGACAAACCAGCTATGTACGTCTGCACTATAAACTTACTTTATAAGTATTTAGACAAACAGAGTCGTTATGAATATAATACACAGTGGCATACGTCAACATTCTAAGCCACTAGACAGGTGTGCGTTTATATAGGTACAAATGTATCTACGATAAGTATTTCAGGTAAATAATAGGTACATTAACACAATACAAGTCCGGTGGATAGGAATTCGAGACATTCCGTCGTGGGTTAACGTAATATTGTTTTATCTAAACTCAGGACGTGACGTCACACATTTTTAAGATTTGTGGCTTTTGTTAATGAGATTCACGTAAATATTTTGTTTAGGTGCCACCTCTTTACACTTAGTCACGAGGTCAGCGCGAGGCGGCGAGGTTCAACTTCCATATAAGGACTCGACGAACGATATGATCCGAAAATAAAATTAATTCAATTTAAAATGATCTCATATTATACCGCTGTGCCTTTGTGTATATTACTTTTTCCCTTTTGACACCTTTTAATGCTTAACGCATTAGCGATTGTATCGATTCAAACATTTACAATAAACAAGGTTAGACTGGGCACGCCTAGTCCGGCGGGTTAACCAATCAGAGAAGCGGTTATAATCAGCTGTGAGGTCGGAGGTTACCAGTGAATCATCGCACCGTTAGACATATATATTGCGGTTTCACAGTCGTCTGTTCAGTTCTCCTCTGCGTACACGTGTCTGTAAGAACTTCGAAAACCAGGAATAAGGATAAATATTCTCATCATGTCAGCTAACAGAGCCACAAAGAGCGGACTTGCCCGTGAGGCCCAGGACAAGGTAAGAAGCTGTGATATGTATATTGTCGTCTGCCACTTTCCCGCGGGTTGTGATCAATGTCCGGCATCTGCACCGCCGGCTGGGAGGCTGCAGAGGGGAAAATCCTCAATAAATACTGATTCAGTTAAAAGTTTAATTCTGGATTAGAGCCAAACAGATGACCATGGCTTAATTGAGATTGTGTGTCTGTCTGTTATATTTTTGATTACATCAGAAAAGTGATCACGATCTTTCTGGCGCCAATGGGATTTACAGAAACTCTCCCAATAACCACCATTGCAGAGGGATGTCTGGGAGACTGTCATGAACGTAATAAATTCTAACTGGATTTAAAACAGTGTCGGCCACATCCTGTATGTAATCTATTATTTTGTTAGCTGGTAAAACGTCAACGACGCCTATGTAGTATGGAGAGGTCTGCAACTTTTGAAATGATGTCTGTTATTTATGATAATTTAATTACGACGCCCTTTGTCGCTTATCCAATTTGAATGTCTGTGTGCCCGATCAAAAATTATCATTTTCAGAAAGGGGACACACCCATTGTCAACAATGACGTTCCTTTGAGTTTGTTTGTACTAGAGATCGAAAAAGGATGTAAGGGCTCTCAGCAAGTAACCGAAGAATGTAGTTAAACAAGCTAGATGTTTTTTTCTGTTACAATATCTGACATTATAGGACGTGTACGATCCTGACTGAAAGCCACTTAGTCTAAGTTACTATGACAGACACCTATTAACATTGTAATACATGTATATGACACATGGGAAGACATAACTCGGTATCCAGTTAAGGAAATATTTAATGGGAAATTAACATGTTCCGATAAAACTCTTTAATTTGTCCCAAACCGTGTAAAATTGTATTTGATATATGTGTACATATTAACATGTAATTTGGCATTGCGATGGTATTATAAGTTTCCTCTTGTTTCTGTAAGTGTGTATCGCTTATTTCCTTCTCTCTCGGTCTGGCGTTTACATGTTGTAATTTATTAGTTTTACAAACAACAGTAGAGATTTACTGACGGTGTTTTATCCCGATATGTCTCGCTCGCTCCTCACTTTTGAATTAAGGCAAGTTATCACGATTAATAAAAAAAGAAATTGCAGAAAGAGTTCAAAATAAATAAATTAAAAGAATGTTGTATATTTTTGTGAAAAACTGACCAAGCTTTTAACATCGTTTATCGATGTACGATAACATTGATAGAGAAAACAGCCCCGGGGGTCGGGCAGGGATTGAGAGTTCCGGTCCGTTGGCTAGAGCCGACTCTGTGAATATGCTGAAAATTTCCTAACGGAAATTAAATTTGGTTTTGCGTTACGTCATATTGGTGGAATGCTCACTAGCTCACCCCTTCCGATCTGAATGGTGGGATCGGAATTTTACCGATAAGTAAAAACATGCTACGTGTTTTAAATGAAACGTATGCATCTTCTTGGTTTCTGAGCGAGCGTGTTATGTGTATAGGATGTGTATTAAGTGGGCAGACGTCAGCGAGTATCAACACGATTCATATTTAGCCTGCCCTGACTGTGTTTATATGATAACGGATAAGCGGAGGTTTAAACTCTTTCCTCGATAAATGTTTATAAGAAAATGCAGTATTTAGAATAACGATGTTGATATTTCTCAACGTTCGATAAGATAGCACGTCATAACTATGTTATCTTCTGTGGGTGATTGATGCTAACTGCCAATGAGAATATATTAATGTTGCTTTCCTGTTTGTTTTGGTTTTGGTAAAGGAATAGCTCATGGTGTTGGATGGTATCGGTCTGTCTTAACTGGTTATCGGTCCGACGTCCGTGGTTAGATGGTATCGGTTTGTCCTCCCTGATTATCGGTCCGACGTTCGTGGTTAGATGGTATCGGTTTGTCTTCCCTGGTTATCGGTCCGACGTTCGTGGTTAGATGGTATCGGTTTGTCATCCCTGATTATCGGTCCGACGTTCGTGGTTAGATGGTATCGGTTTGTCTTCCCTGATTATCGGTCCGACGTCCGTGGTTAGATGGTATCGGTTTGTCTTACCTGATTATCGGTCCGACGTCCGTGGTTAGATGGTACCGGTTTGTCTTACTTTGGTATCGGTCCGACGTCCGTGGTTAGATGGTATCGGTTTGTCTGGCCTGGTTATCGGCCCGACGTCCGTGGTAAGAAGGTATCGGTCTGTCTAACCTGATTATCGGTCCGACGTCCGTGGTTAGTTGGTATCGGTTTGTCATCCCTGATTATCGGTCCGACGTCCGTGGTTAGATGGTATCGGTCTGTCTAACCTGATTATCGGTCCGACGTCCGTGGTAAGAAGATATCGGGTTGTCTTACCTGATTATCGGTCTGACGTTCGTGGTTATTGTGTAGCTAACTAGAATGATCGATCTTATGTCATTGATGAGTGCTATATATAAGTTATGCTTACTTACTTGGTAAATGTTATGAATTATCGTTCTGACGTCATCGGTTATAGATCTAACGACACTAGTTAGTGTTGTAAGTTATCAATCTGGGAGTCATACGTTATCAGTCTAATGTCTCTGGTTGGTGTTCAAAGTTATCGGTCTATCATTCCTGGTTGGGTAAACGTTATCAGTCCAACGTCTCTGCTTGGTAATAAAAGTTATAGGTCTGACATCCGAGGTTGGTGTTATATGTTATCGGTCTAACATCCCACGTTGGTGTTATTTGTTATAGGTCTGACATCCCAGGTTGGTGTTATATGTTATCGGTCTAACCTCCCAGGTTGGTGTTATATGTTATAGGTCTGACATCCCAGGTTGGTTACACGTTATCAGTCTATCATCTCTGGTTGGTTATATGTTATAGGTCCAACATCTCTGGTTTGGTATATGTTATAGGTNGAGGTTGGTGTTACATGTTATCGGTCTAACATCCCAGGTTGGTGTTATATGTTATCGGTCTAACATCCCAGGTTGGTGTTATATGTTATAGGTCCAACATCTCTGGTTTGGTATATGTTATCATTCTAACATTCCTGGTTGGTATAAAAAGGTATCTGTCTAACATCCCTGGTTGGGTATACGTTATTGGTCTAACATCCCTGGTTGGGTATACGTTATCGGTCTAACATCACTGGTTGGGTATACGTTATTGGTCTAACATCCCTGGTTGGGTACACGTTATCGGTCTAACATCCCTGGTTGGGTATACGTTATTGGTCTAACATCCCTGGTTAGGTATACGTTATCGGTCTAACATCCCTGGTTGGGTATACGTTATCGGTCTAACATCCCTGGTTGGGTATACGTTATCAGTCTAACATCCCTGGTTGGGTATACGTTATTGGTCTAACATCCTGGTTGGTGTCACAAGTTGATATTATATTTTTGTTAGTGTTTTATTCAATAGAGATAGTGTTATGCATAACAGTAAACTCTCCACGTATTCATGTTTGCTGAAGAACGTGCTAGTCATGACATTTCGGGGATGAACGATAAAATGTCAGAAGTAAACAGAGGTGATTTATCAGGCGCAGTAGACGTGTCACAGAACACGCTACAATAACCCGCTGTATGCTTGACAGTTAAAATACAGTTGTATGCCTTCCGTTTGCAGTTAAAATGCAAAGCAATATGTTACACAGCGGAAATTCATAGATTGATCGATAAAAGATCAGACGAGGCGTATATTTATAACATATAACGGTATCGGGTACAGATGAAACTTTTCCTCGTACACACTGACGCGACAGTGTAAGATTTAAACACTTTCAACCAGTTTTCCTGCTTTGTATTTATAAAAGCGAGAGTGATTTCGACTTGTATTGTGTGCACATCTTGTATGTGTGTTTGCGCACGCATGTTGTCTGTTACCACGCCCAATGTCACGTGACATGGTCGTTAGCGAGCAGACATCCTGTTCGACTCATTCAACATATAATCAGATTCGTCACTGTCGAGCGTCTGATAAGACTCGGTCGTTTAATCACATACACGTCTCCCTCCCCAGCCAAATCAACGTATGTGGTCTAAAGCTCACACGTATGATGATATCTATTAAGTTCCCCGGCAAAATCTATCATCCAATCGAACGTAAATAGCTTCAACTATATACCATTAATAACGGGCATTGGAAAGAGTGTGCGGTTACATATATGAACTCTTTCCCCGTCGCTTAGGGACATGTATTATGAGTATTAATTGAAGTGATGATGATAAAAATAGGTACACATACATATACAATAAGAAATATAATGAAACCTTGTTATAAAGTCACTCGTGTACGTCCAGTAGAATATCAGCGTCTAAAGGAGTTCAATAGTTCAATCAATAAAGTAAATTATCGATGTAATGCCAATTGTATTTGCTATATAGCTTACCGGTAACATAATTCAAGATACCCCTTTCCCCTTTTTCTTAACAATAATCAATCCGTCTTCCTCGTTTGTCGCCAATCTCACTTATGACGTCAAAATTCTTTATAACGTCAAACCCCTTTATAACGCCGAACCTCTTTTTAACGTCAAACCCCTCTATAACGCCAACATTTCTCAAGACAAACAGAAGTAATATAATAATGTCGGGTAAAAGGGATATAACGCCACTGAAGAACTCTGCCACTAAGCGCGATAGCATGGCACAAACGGCATTGTAGCTAGGCATTGCTTACATGTTATTGATGCAGCTATCGTATAAAATGCAACTGTATTTTTCTCTGTTATCGACACGTTTATCGGGGTTGCATTACATAACAAGGGTGTCGACAAAAATTCATACGAACAAATGTTTAAAGAAACAATATCTTTGGTCTTCCTCCTGTCTGATTTTAATTATCACTAATTATTATTAACATCAACTTTTTTATTTACACTTGTGATAAAAAATTTAATTGTATTGTACGTAGTTGCATCTTTATTTTCGAAATACATAATGTACTTCCGGTTGTCACTATAATAGAATGTTGTATAACCGCACTCGCCAAAAAGTCAAGTGCAACTGCTTTAGTGATAGATTTTCGGTAATAATTGAAGATAGAAATTGTGTTCTGTAAAGGTGATAGAACTAAATACTTCACAAGAATATCAAGTTTTTTCTCCGATTTGTTTCCTTAGAGACGATGTGTGTCGACTCCTAAACAGCGACCGCATTTCATAATTTACTTTCAGTATTTGCAATTAGGACTTGATGAGACTAGAACACAATCTATGGTGAACTGTCCAACTCCTGAGTCTTTGAAGGTCGAACGCTTTTCACGAAAATCATGTAATTTGCAATAGTCATCTATTTCAACCAATATTCTACTTCCTGTTTGGTATGTTTTTTTCAGATCAACAGTAAGTACAGCGAGGAGCTAGCTTGTAAAGTGCTTCAATGGGTCCAACAGAACACAGGGGAGTCGTTCAGCACCGATGGCAGTAAGGAGAACTTCTACGAAGTGTTAAACGACGGTTACATCTTGGGCCGGTAAGTTATTTAACGTCATGTTTATTCTCGTGACGTCATCGTTATACTTCTTTCTGAGACATGGCTGCTTTATTGTAGGGTATAACAGGGATATCATACTAGTGAACAATTGTGATAATTTTATAAAGTTGAAAATAAACTGTGAAGTGCTTAAACCCTCAAGTTAAAGTTCTGAGTTTTTTTCATTGTCAATATGGCCTAAATAAGATGTATCGAGTAACTGTAAAAACTCTGCAGTTGGTCGTTCACTCCCCACTCGGTTATCGTACTCTGATCAAAGGATAATGACACTAATATACCGACCCTGCTGCTCTGTCTTAAATGACCGACTTATATAATATTTCCGTCTTAGAGGTAAGACAGAAATATCTTTACTCAGGGCATTTAAAAATCTTACCCGAGGGTTGAGATTTTTTCTGTGTTACTCGTAAAGTGGGGAATACTTATTTTTTCTCCTTCATTAAATATAAGTGGTAGTTCCATGAAATGGAAACATTGATTTCATCATTTCCAGCTGATCAACGTTTTCTTCCGTGATTTGCTATTGTTGACGTGACGTCATGCAATGGTTATGACAGGGGAACCAACCGTCTTTATCTTAAGACTGGCCTGGCCGGAAGTGTGGAGATCTAATGGGGGAGGAATACGTGTCAGATTTGATAACTCAATCTAGGATGCATATTTAAGGAATTTCTAAGGTATTTTGGTTTTAAAAACTGTTTGAGATGAGGATATTTTTTCTGGATTATTATTGGGGAGATTAAACATGGTTAATTAGTAAACATATGCAAATATTTAGAAATGAATAGTCACATCACTTGTACATTTCAGATTAACATAACTGTTACAATTGATTCACTTTACAGTTTGGCCATGAACCTTGGCTCTAAAAAGGTAGCGGATAAAGACCTAAGTAAGCGACAGACAATGTCTTTCAAAAAAATGGACTTGATTGGAAAATTCATAGAAGCAGCTAAAGGTCTTGGTGTCGCGGATTGCGATAGATTTCAGACAGTAGACCTGACTGACCAAGCTAACCTAAACCAGGTCGTGGTTTGTCTGGACGCTCTGGGCAGGAAGGTAGGCATTCAAAATGTAACATTAAGGATACTTGATCCGCAAAAGCACATTGCATGAAAATTCATAACACTTTTGTTGATCAATTTTGTTTTGTTTATTTCATACAAAAAGTCCCATAAGTTATAGTTTTCTATTCAGAAATGAGTTATCAAAAGTCCTCGTCAACCGGGAAAAATCTGTTTTCAATGCATATAGTTACAGTTTTTGGCAGTCGTACCTTAAGATTGCTGGTGAAAATATCTGTACATTGTAACTATAATATCCGTCATTATTCCATCTTTGAAATCCAACGATTTAGCTCATGATACAAATACCTTCTCTGCACTCATCAAATATGTCAAGGCAGGTCGCAAGCTATTTTACTGCTTTCAGGTATAAAATGAGCTACGGTTCCCCAAGTAATCATCTCATATACATTCTGATTTCAGATGGGGACATTCGGAGTAAAGGAAGCCACGAAAAACGAGCGACAGTTTACAAAAGAACAGCTGGATGCAGGGAAAAACGTGATCAGTTTACAATATGGTTCAAATCAAGGTGCAAGTCAGGCCGGTCAGAACTTCGGCTGTCAACGACACATTATCGACTAAATCTAAAAACTACAGACACAAAAAGGTTAACTTGCATTTGGCACAGGAATGACAACTGGAGACGTGCCGCACAGCTGCCTGTTAAATACCTGTCGAAATAATTCAGTTCATTCATAAACTTGGTCTAAAACAATTTCACGCATACCTACTTGCATACGTGTTACACATACTTCTTGATATTGTTAAACATGTTAATGTATGTGTGTGTGTGCGTTCAATTAGCCAAGTGGTACACCTATATGTTGAATAGCTTGTACAAATGTCTATACTTAAACGTTGGTGCTTAACATATGTGCGCATGTATACCTTATTCCTGAACAGGACATTACTACTCTTGTGTACTGTGCAGACAGTTTTGCGGAACACTTTTAAATGTTTACACGTGTGTATACGCACGCGTATCCAATATACATCTAGCACGTGTGGACACACATGGGTGGTTTCTGGACACTAGCTCGAAGTTACGTCTTGGTCAAAAGAAACCGAAAACGGAAGTGAGGAAAGCGTGGGAGAAATTCAAGTTCAAAAGATGTGTGCGAGGTGAAGCGAGATTTTGAGTGAGAGCAAGGGAGACTAAGATTTTAAAAGTTCATGCAAAGGACCAATGCCTTACTATCCATTCTACATATTGCCTTCTCCATTTGGGGACCAAAGTCATCATTTACTTTGTTATTTACATTAAAATAAATAATGGAAACTAAATACAAATTGAAGTGTATTTGTTATTCTTGAAGACGGTTTAATCCAACAGGCCAGACAATACGTCGTTTTCGGTCACCGGGTGAACACGTGGTACATAAAATGGACATGTATACTTCTGGTAATGAAAATAAACCAGCCAGTAAATCAATTTCATGGTAATGCAAGATTTTAAAATCATGGTGGAAACGACTGAAATGTCACATCCTTCATAAAATGGATACCTATTGAGTAATACCCGCTCATCCGGTAGACAGTCTGAGAAGTCTGAGACCGTGCACAAGTGTGTGTTTTTTCTCCATATCTTTAACTATTTCCAGATTATTGTTGTATACCGGAAGTATATATGCACCCCCAAATATTACGTGACCTACGTATATTAACCCCGGTCGAATCTGGAGATAAAAAATAAAGGCGTCTTCGATCATCAACGATTGACAGTGATCACTTCCTTACTTTCAAATACAATACGTAGTTCCACTAGTCTGCAAGGCAAAAAACGGTTAATTAAGGCCCCCAAACAAAGTGGGGTACTTATTGGTTTTACTCCGTTTCTTTTTCCATTACAATAAGTAGCTGTTTAGCAGTTGTTTTCTAGACATGCTTAGCGTGGCTTCGCATATTCAGATTATTGAGAAATTAAAGAGGAGTTGTAATCGATATTTTGTTCATGAAAATGTAAACCATTCATAACATGTTTAAAATTATTATCATCCCATGATATACAAACTTATTTTTTTCCCATTTATCCAAAGAATATATAATTAAGAAATTTGATTTTACGTTCCCTAAACTTAGTAATAAAGCTTGGTACAACTTGATTGAAGACAAATCTCGGCGAACTCTTCAAAGGGGTTTGTGCGTTTCGATAGACCTGAGAGCTTTGCTGGATAGTAAACGTTACACCAGATTGATCGAGCGGGAGGGACCAGACGAAGGGCAGTCCGGCTATTCCTGTAATACCAGGGATTTTGTATGGGGACATTGAATCACGTGACAAATATCTTACGGCATATTGGTGACATACATTAGTACAATGCGCTCAAGAGCGACAGTTGGAATCTGTGCTTTTCCTGATATAGGTTAACTTGTATTCTTGGTCTTTATTCATCAAACGCCTCCCTTGGCACGACCTTATTCTTGGCTTTGTTGCATCTAACGTTCGCATATGTGAGGAAAGAAATGTTCTGTTCCCAGGCCGGAACAACTGGTTCACCCGTTGTCAGTTTCATGTGATCAGGCGGAATGCTATGCTGGTTGCCTTCGGCATGGCATTTCAGTGAGATAGCACTATAAAGTCGGCATCAGATCCGCGCTATCACAAGGAGAAAGGACACCAACATACCCCGTCTCCTTTATACACTACACAAATGGCCTTAGCTGTTAAAATGACGTTAAACAAAAATAAACGAAACCAAACTCAGGCCGGGGCATACCAAAATCCTGTTAAGTGTCAATTGTTATTCACATGTAAGCGTTCATCATCTAGGGTAAGCGCAACGCCTCGTTGACCCGTCGTCAATATTATGTGACCAAATAATGTGACGGGTGTCTTCGCTGTAATTAGGCAGCACTCCAAAGAAGCGCAATAAACCAATATCCTGCCTCCAGCACACACACACACACACATGCATTAACACACGGGGGCACGTCCTCAAATGATCTTAACTATTTTTTGGACGCTAAACCCAACGCACTAATCCGGACCTTGACAGAATTGGCCGAGACGTAGCGTTTGGATAAATAAGGATAAGCTAGTTTCAATTACCTTTATCGACTAATCTGGTCCTAATGATATCAAAGCTATGTAGTAGCTCATTATGTTCACTTCCCGTTGGGAGGGATTAACCCGGTCATGTTAACGCTATGTCGACGAGAAGAGAAATTGTCTACAGTACAGGGGGCGTATCCAGACCGTCTGACCTTGTTTGACTGGGGTAAGATATGCCGGAGGGTTTTTAACTCATTCACCCCTGAAATTTCATACTGAACTATTCCAACCTTTGAATTGGAAGAGTTCAAGTGTGTCTTTAGGGGTGAATAGGTAAAAAGCAAATTGACGGACTGTGTGGGTATTCGGGGTGCATGATTCGTTTGAAACTATCTTGTTGTAACCGCCGCTATGGGAATAATGTACAATCCAAATGTATCTCAGAACATGAAATAGTGGAAGTCGAATCAAACAATGTCTTTAAGAAAATCTCGTGTAAAGATTTGTATTATAGATATTTACTACTGAATTGTGTTATCTTTGGCGTCTTAGATTTGTTATTTGTGTTTCCGTCTACTTATCCTTACCCGTGGAAAAATAACAGCGTATGCAATGATGGGGAAGAGAATGAAACTAAAGTCATTTTTCGATGGGTAATTCTGTATCGCGGTGCATCATTGCTATATATGTCTATGTATGTATTTCGCTGTATTTTTCTATTTTGCCTTCTAACTACTTTGTAGTTACAAATGTGCAAATAAAATTTTGAATTTGAATTTGAATATATTTACATTTCCACTGTAAGTTCCGCTATGAGCATTGCAATAAGAAATTGCGTTCCACTTCATAGGGCTATGAACGCAATTCGATCAGCGTCATTTCGAAGCATCTCCTCTCGCCTAGAATAACATGGGACAACTGCTAGAAGCAAACATTTTGATGACGTTAGGCGGTTCCAGGAATCTCGTTTGCACTGACGACATAAACAATTCAATATCGGTAATAAAAGGGAATATCTTTATTTAGGTCAATAATAAATGAAAATTTATAATGTAAATATAACGTAACAGACATGATTTACCATGATGCCCGAGCGGGCTTCACGGAATATGTATGTAGCCGCTTTGCGTTCATACCTGCATGGAATTGAAAAAAAACCCCGTTCAATCCTCATTTAAACAAAGCATATCATACTCTTGAAAACAAACCGTCATTGATTAAAAAAAAAAACAACCTTACCACCTTAGTTTAACTGGATTCGTCGTGCTGGTAACGATGACAAAGTGGGGGTTACTTAAGGATTAACTTCGTGTGTAGAGCATACATTAGAAGAAAGGAACATTAAACATCACCCCAAGCTACTAGTTAGCTTACAACGATGTCATCTTAGCGAAACTGAGCGAAACTTAAATTTATATTTTTCATGTTATGGAGGTATAACACAAAAAAACGGAGTGTACTCTCATCATAAACTGCTTCGCGGTTCATTTATAGAGTACACTCCGTTTTTTTGTGTTATAGCTCCATAACATGAAAAATATATTCAAGTCAATCCTTATAATTTAATCTACTATACACATTCCCTGTGGGAATCCACTTTTATTGGTGGACTCTTTGCTCTTACAAATTATTACGCCGCTGTATAAGCCAATCAAAAGCGACGTTACAAACGGCGACGTCATTTTTTTTTTACGTTATGGGCTGATAACATAAATGTTTAAGCCAATGAAAATGCTTGTTACAAGCAAGATTAAATTATATGTATATAAAATTATAAACGATATGTCGAAGTAAAGCCGTGTAAAAACGAATGGCGTTAAAGGGAGATTAAACCGTTTTTGTATCGAGGTCTTACTTTACATAAACGAGGAACGTTATATCAATATTTTACTTTATAATGTATAATAATTTATCATATCGAGGCTCTACTTGATGTAAAGGTTGGGTATTTCATTGTAAATAACCAAGATACATACGAGATAAATTCAGAAAAGTTTTACTTTATATGAACAAGGTAAATTATGAGGTAAAAAAATTCATCAGATCAGAAAGGAAACAGTCAGGTTCCCAGATAAATAAATCGGCAATCACAGACCATGCCACACAGAAAAATCATGTGATTGACTGGTATAACTCCAAAGTATTGGACAGAGAGAGCAATCTGTTAAAGCGGCAGATAAAGGAAGCCATCTGGATACGTCGCAGTGGGCCAGTTCTAAATCGAGATGAGGAGACTCATAGACTCTCGCACATCTATGACCAAGTTTTAAACAAAGCGTAGCTGAATCGATTCATTTCGGTACATATATAACAACTATTGTACATACGTTTACAGCGTAGCCGAAAATGACATAGATTTTGTGGATAACTCGTACACATTTTACACCTTTGTGTGCATACCCTTCACGGGTCATTTGTCTGATGAAGGTGACAGTGTACATATCGTACTAGTCATCGAAACGTCACATAGAAAATTGTATTGGTTGTGCAAAAAGAACTTTTCATAATCCATACTTACCAACCTGAAGAAAATGTTTAGAAATTAGTTGTGAGTGTTTCATTGTATAGAAATGAGGGGTGTTTTACAGAATAATTACTGTATTCAGCAATTGTCATATGGCGAGGATTTTAACAAATCAATAAAAAGACAAACGATGGATAGGCGGTGCACTCTATTTTTCTATCCGAGTAAGCAAGAAGCGACTTTATATTGCATGGAAAAATACTGAAGTATTCTTGATTTAACATCGATCGATGTCTCTATACGTTCATGTAAGCTGAAAGAAGGCACAGGGACCTGAGAATTTGTTACAGCAATATTTGGACCTAAACTAAGGTGTTCAGAGTAATTTTACATGTTTAAGGGGTGTAGATCGACTTTCGGTAAAAACGACACCCCCAATGATTATGTATGAGTGTAATTTTTACCGAAAGTTGATCACTTAAAACATATAAAACTACTCTGAACACCTTATTTTATGGCCAAATACAGCTGTAAGAAATTCGCAGGTCCCTGCGGTAGAAGACACTAGAATATTACATACATGATAGCTGATTTTCCGTTATGTATTTTTTGTTTTAGTTTCGTTTCATAGTGGCTATTTATCTCTTTGTTATATTTTGTGATACGCAATTGTTCATGTTTCAGTCTTGGGAAAAGGGTGGAGTGCTTCAAAAAATTGACAAATCATTTAGACGTCTTTGCTGATATATTAGATGAGTGATACACACCAACCAACATTTGTTTGTTCGGATCCAGTGTCCATATTAGATCATATTGTCGTTATTACTTATTAGACCTATATATAATTACTTATGGTAAACGTATATACTCATGTACAAAATACACTGGACTCTCATCTTACTTATGCAGGGCGAGAAGCTTTCGATTGCCAACTCACGAGTTCGTCAGTAATATTGTAAGAGTTGTTTCCCCTTCATTGCAGCCAAAATTACTAACGAAAACTCGCTGACGAGTGTCTAAGTAATTTTGGAGCATACACGTCCATTTTTTCCCACTTGTAAAATCGGAAATTACGTTGATTACTGCAATATTGAAACAATATTTGCGAAACATCGGTTCCGCCTTGTGTGTGATTCACACTACCTCGGCGGGATCCACGGATTTTGTTCTCAGATGAAGTTGTGTTGACGAACAACAGTCTGACCGTCTATGAACGTTCGAGGCCTACGTGGGGCAGTCGACCGGTACTTCCCACAAGCAGTTGTTTTTTCTCCGGGCACTCCGGTTTTCATCCACCACCAAAATCTGGCGCGTCCTTAAATTACCATAGCTGTTTAAAGGACGTAAAGCGGCATAAACAAATAACACCATTAAAATAGTATTTCATTGAAAGTTAGTTATGTTCCGATCATTTTCCAACATTATCGCCGGCTGACTTGATGTCTCAACAGGAGAAAACAATGTTGTGCCTTCGCCTTTTCTTCAAGGAATCTTAATTATACAGTAAACATTTTAATTCAAAATATACCACAACACAAAAACAGCAACTTAAAGCATGATCCTACATGAGTAGCATTTACTATCAAATAATGTATAAATAATGAAATTTGACATCAACATACAATAAAAATCATTTCGATCACTGAAACTCTCACATTCTAAACATACAGCACACTCTTTAAAATTCTTCACGCTGTCTTTTGGATTTAACTGTATCAAACTTCATAATGATAATGACATGCAACTACGTTTTCAACTTAGCTTTTTTCTCTCTAAAAATCAACCTTGGGTTTGGTTTAGTAAATCTGAAGGTATTGGGTATTAACAAGTTAAACTGAAATATTTTCATTTTCACTTTTTGTCTTATTCAAAATAAATAATCAAACTTGAATTTTTGAAATAGAAATAGAAAAAGAAAACGGAAACACTGCAGGAGTCGAACACTGGACCTTTATATTACAAAGCCTACACAAAACTCAACAGGGGCAGTAACTCTAGGCCAGCAAATCTTATTTTCGTTGCTTCAACTTCTTTTCCGAAGGGAGAAAAAAAACTCTGATTGGAACTCTTCTTCATGATTTAAACAGATGCAGTGGTACCCTTTACCTTAAGATAATTTTTCAACATAGAATGATAATGGAAACAAGATATACACGTCCTTGGTTTCTAAACCATAAGCACCAGATATTGTGATAATATAATTATCATTTATAAAAATACAAATAAATATATCATTAGGACCCATTCGGCTAGTACAGGCATAGATTGCTGAGCTGACCCATTTGATTTTCCGATGTTAATATTTAAAATGGTCCAATTATCATACTTTGTATTTATTTATAATATGACTGAATGATCTTATGTGACTTTTATGAGGAAAAAAAATGTAAAAATAAACACATATTAAATGAACGATACATAATCAACAACAGTTTTCCCGAGTGTAAAAATTCTACAGTGCTAGATTGGGACTCGAACCCTGAACTTTAGATTGCTGCTATACTAGCACTCTAACCCGCTGAAATATCTGGGGCCGGTTTCTTTAAGCGGAACAACCAGCTTGTCTGTTTTTAAAAAGTAACATTTTCGGGCTTTGTCAGGGCTCGTCTGAAAGCAGTATCAGATTACTAGGTCCGACTTTATTTTTTATAATTGAACAACTCTGGTCCAACCGATTTAACCGTTTGGATCGCGATAAACAAAAGCGGCCCTGGTAAGCGGAAGTGTCCTGACACAACTCAATCGGGAACCGTCGGCACTTTCCGTAAACGAGAAAATACTCTCGTTTACGTAAAGTGGCGACGGCTCCCAATTGGGCTCACCTGTGCTACAGCGTTACCCAAAACGAAACAAAGGGGAAATTACTCTATGAACAAAAAACAAAAAAAAAACAAAAAAAACCCACAGTGCAGTGGGATAGGGAACCTTAATAGTTAAGGAACTTGCTATTATTGATGTCTGTGTTTTAAAGTTGAAGCATTTCTTTTTATCACTTTGTATGGATTAGAAAATGTTTCTTTAACTCATTCATCCCTACATATTGAAACTGGACTTGCCCAGTCTTTCATTTGGTAAGGTTCAAATGTGACTTTAGGGGTGATTGGGATTATTAAGTCACAATCCATCCACATTCATTGTGGGACTTTTTTTGGTGCATGTTATGAAAATTACATATAATGTGCTAAAAATACAATAATACTATTTTCGCTTGCTTGTTTGAATTGGTTGACTGATTTTAAAACAAGAAAACAAGTCAGCAAAGCGATTCATACTTTTATGGCTATAGCAAAAAAAAAATCACTGAATGACGTCATACAACATCAAAGTTTTTTTTAATAAGCAGCGCCATACAACGTCATAAGCTTACATTTGATTGGTCAATTTTTACACTTACACATGTACGCTTACGACAGTCGGGAAACTACTAGATATATGACGGAAACAACCGAGACTAAAAATAGATTTGACGGAAAGACGGGATTCGAAGACAACGGGAATGAGAAAAGGCTAGAAATGGTTTTATGAGTCCATTATTAGTAGCTATTGAAATAGAAAGTGTATCAAGGCAGTTGATATAAGGTAGAACCAAGTACTTTGGATTCTGACAATAATGGAAATAACGATATTTCTGGATGAAAAGTAGTCCCGACTTTCGTTAGTCTGAATTGGGTTTGTTTTATAGAAACTGCAAGATGCTTGATTTACATGAAAGAAATCCGATTAGGCTTGAAATCCGAAAATAAACTACTTGCAGCGTTGCCAGGGCAAATATTACCAACACTGTCGCAATTTGGTCCCAATGACAAACTTATATCCTTCATCAATACAGCTGACCTTAAACGGTTAATTCAAGGTCAAATACATATTTGGTTATGGAATGTTACACAATCCTAAGGTAATTTTTCAAGGTCATACACAAAGGTCAAACAACTGGTTATCGCTCCACAGCCGGCAATTAACATTGTCTATTGTGTACTAAATTTACATATCAAGGTCATACACAACGGTTATGTGTCGAGGTTACACACAGAGGTCACGTACTAAGGTCATTTGCCAAAGAAACATGTCAAGATCGCATGCATGCTTTGTGTTGATGTTGAACTCCAATTACACGAGCCAATTATCACACAATGGTCACGCCTCACGGTTAAACAAGAATGTCATGACATGGTTTCATGCAAAGGTCATGTGCTAGGGTCACATACAAGGTCACACATCAAGGTCAGTCTATTATCATCCTCTGTTTTCCGAAGCTGAGACCAGCCTGGGAGGCGCCGATGTTTGTACCGTACTGGAGACTAATGGTCTGTTTGCTCGCCTGAAGCTGTTCTTGGGTAAATTCCCGCTTGTTTTCCTTGGCTTTCTTTGGCCAGATATACGGCCCACTGTAGTCTTCTCTTGTTTGTGCCTGAAAACACAAGTATACATATCAGAAATTCGATTGAGATATTCTTTCCTTGTACATGCTTTGTTTAACATCCGAATATCTCAGATAGGTCAGTGATTTATCTGCCCTTTAATGTATATGCATGAAAGAAATATTATAAGTGTGAACGGGTTGTCTGTCCTTGTAAATGTCAAAATGAACAATAATTCACTTATACAAAATCCACTTCCGCACCTTACCTAGCTAGAAGTGTAGAGATATATCGTATACAGATATAAGAACTAATGTACTTCAGCTATATAATAACATCTTTTTAGAAAGGCATATTGATATATTACTGACAAGCAGTATATATAATTGACTTCATTCCATACATGTTGTCAATTGCTATTAGCGATTCTCATATATTTGGCAAAATCATCTTTTTCTTCTTTCATTTTCTATACAACAACTTAATTATAAATTCATACAAACTTTTGTGTCGGGATAAAGTGGTGAGGTTTAATCAAAGACCTGCGTATATCGGCCGGAAATGCACATTTTTGAACAAAATGAAATTCATATTCATATTCTGAGCCAAGGAAAATATTCCATTTAAAAAAAAAAATACATTGGTATCTACCAGTTTGTACACGTAGTTTGTGGGAAGATGTTGTTATCTTTGTTTACTGATTGTAAATATACATTTTAAGTAACTTATGTCTTTGACAATGCGACATTTGATTGGTTCCAGATCGCAAAATTGACCAAATACAATTGCAATGGAAGAAATGGCAAAACCCATTGAAATTTCCAAGACCCAGACAACGCAGGACAATTTTAATACTTGTCTATTTTTGTTTAGCTTTAAGATCATCATCTTTGGTTGCCAAGTAGAATATTTTGGAAACAGAATGTCTCAGTACTGGTGTGTTGGCGCTATGTAATAAATATTATCAAATTTATGAAATTACAGGTCCGTGTCCCATGAAAAAGGATTTATGACGTATACACCACATAGGGCGAGTTTCCTTGCTATATATTCTTACATCTCATACTTTTTATTCTCTCCGTAAACATTTCTTTCTTTTTTCTAACCTTACCTCTGTATGCTATTACCTTATATTTTTATTTTTTTTATATAAAACACAATATGACAGATTGACAGATGATTTAGAATTATTCTGAAATATAATGAATACTAAGTTTGTTACATATTTGAAACTCAGCTAAAGTGTGTGTGTGTGGGTATGGGTATATTGCTATGTAAAATTACTTTGCTTAAGGCAGATAGACAGTTGTATCTGGTTTTTTCTCTCTCAAAATCATCAAAGAGCTACTTTGAAGACATAGTCTTCCAATTTACCGTTACGCGGTTCATTTTTTACCCTGTGTCTTTAATCAAAGGATTACTCTGAGAGTACAAGTATGAACAATTCCATGAATATGTAGCGAATCTGGATTGGGTCGATCATCGGCCACCAGGTAGCTCAATTGGTAGAGCGTCCGTCTCGAGTTCGGTCGGTCCCGGGTTCAAACCCCGGTCTAGCCGTTACATTTTCTCTTTCTCCGGTTACAAATCTAATCAATTCGTTACGTCCACAAAGTAGCGCACACAAGGGTGTCAATTCTGTCAGGGTGAAGATATTTAGAAGAAATGCATATCCAGACTGCGCGAATGCAACGCTTAGAATTTTGGGAGATGCCAATCTCCCTATCGTTACAACAGGGAGTGGAGTGTTAGTCATACAATCCCTACCAAACATGCATTCATCAAGAAGCTGATAAATTATGATAGAAGTCTTATCGCATTACTAAAACTTTCGTATTTTATATCAACGCAGACGCTAAGGTTCTACTTACACGTACATGGAATGTCACTTCGAGGCTCTGCTAATACGTAACCGAGGCGATCTAGGTTCGACCACAGTCCGATAAGATTGTATCAAAATAGGTTACATTCCTGATATGACTCCATTGCTATGATCCGAACCGAGCGATTTGTGAATTGGGCTATTCATTAGTAAAATTTTATCTAAATTGCTCGGGAGGTTTCGATAAGTGAACTTACCGATATATATACGCTTGTTGTGAGTCATTAGGGAAACAGCCCCCATTGTCAGCAGTTTGTATAGATTATTTCTGATGTTAATAGGTACAGTTACATACTAAAATACCGTATTAAATGTATTTACATTCCAGACAACAATGTAATTAGTAATACCAGGCCTGTCTCGAATTGATATTTCAATAAATTCGTATATTACAGCAATACGAAAGCCAATGCTAGGCTTCTATGTATACCATCATGTGAAGCTGTCAGTGTGTTACACGTATGGCAAAACTAAGTACATTTGTAGCAATTGGGTTTACAGGAATTTCGCAAAATTAGAAAGTAGTGAGGTCATGATTTCCTTTCTACCCCCCAAAGGAAACTTTCTCCCTTTTAGTAATTTTACAATTGAGTTTTCCTCGTTATTTTTTTTTCTTTTAAAAACCTCCTATATTAATCTCGCGGTGAAAAGAATCAATCAGAAATCATTCGGTAATTTCCGTCATAGTTTGAATTTGACGTCACGCCACGAGTGCATTCGGCTAACCTCGGCTGATTCCGGTACCCTTCATTTGATGTAGGTACGGAATCTGCGGACTTGTGACGAGTGGCCACGAGTGGTTCCGAATACTTGAAACAGTGTGACGGTAAGACCGAACAGTTTCGGATTGAATGCGTATGTGAAATAGTTCTACCCGTCATAACTCGGCAAATTCCGTACCTTCATGAATCAATTGATGAATGATACCGGAATTAGCCGAGGTTCGCCGATTGGAAAAGTTCTTGCTGCTGCTGTTTTATAACAACACTTTTGGTTGGTGGGTGTATCTGGAAAGTTAAATATACATATACGAATCATCAGAGATTACTTATATAGATATCAATCAAGGAACTCGTGCGATCGTGTAACGAAATATCCAAATACCATTGTGACATTGCACATTTTGCACGAAATTTTGGAAAACGTATACATGTGGGTCAATAATTTAAAACCCAGAAAACGTGAGCTGTTTTAAACCAACAATTGATCATTTATTAAAAGGCCGATAATAAATAGGGGAAAATTGCAAAAAAAATGTGTTTCAGGTTTTATCTATTTATCAAACCTATTTTCTCTACCAACTTTAGCTGTTTGTGTGTAACATGTTTCACATACGGGTGATGAATACTATGCAATATCACCAATATATTGCATTATCCGTTTATCAATATATATTGTAATATGATTTTGAAATGGCAATATATTGCAATAATGTTTTGAACTTAATTCTTTTTGTTTTTGTTTAATCGCAGTTATGAAATGATTTCGCAGAAATAATATTGAAATCGAATTAAGCTTATTTTTGCTTCAAAATCTTCCAATCTGAATAATATCATAGCTTGACCTACGCTCCGCACACTCTGCTATACGTAAATTGTAGGGAGTAAACGGAGCGTATATTAAGATAGGGTTTTAATCAGATTGAAAATCTTCCAATTTTAATATTTTTCAATTTATCATTGAAATGTTCATACTTTATGCGTATTTTTCGTTTCTTCCATGGAAAACGTTTAATACAGCACTGGATTTTTTATGGAAACAATGTATTGTGATATCTACATATATATTGCAATATTCCCTTAAATATTGCAATATATTGCAATATGGATATTGCTTGCAATACCCACCAACACTATCACCTACTGATTCCTGTTGGAATTTATCACAACAAAAAAACAAGTCAAGCATCTAAAGTATTCACTTGACAGCGATGATCTCTTAAACCAGAATAAAATGCTTTGTGTGGATTAATAAATATGACGTTTTTTAAGGATCTCTGTACAACTACCAAATCTGTTACTATCCATTATAAATTGTTTCGTCCTACTGATTATAGCTAAAATAAATAATATCTGAAAAGAAAGCCTTCTGGGTCACTTAATAAAATCAACAAAAGGGGTCTACATGTTCCTGTAAAAATATAACGAGGTATGCCTCCTAATACTACTAATAATACAGATTCGAGGTTCTTAGAAGGTCATCTCAAAGCGGTTCACAAATTATTATCCTTGGTTATAGGGCCTTTGCAACCAGCCAATATCTTTCTGAACTCCCTGGGGAGCATACAGCCGGAGCTGCCATTTCGGCACTAACAGCTAGCATTCAACAATTCTAGCGCTGCCCAACCACGTACTCATTTACAGCTGAGTAGACTGGAACAAGCGGAGTAAAGTATCTTGCTCAAAGATACAACACAATACCGCGCCGTGACTCGAACCCGCAACCCTGAATTGATACTATAATTGTCATACTACAAATAATTAATTCAAAACAAATAGAAAAATAGGTAACTGAAGTAATCCAATCAACATAAACACACACTGCTTCATTCGTCGTGGAATCTTTCGTTGTAAACTTTATTTCGTTCTGAATACACACATTTACACTTCAATTAACATCAGATGTTTTACAGTGTAATTATGTTAAATTAAGGAATCTTTTGGGACAGTTTTGGTGCAGAATAAATCAACATATGTGTTCATGTAATGTCTACATGGACTGTGTAACCACAATTTTCACTGATGTGCAATATTCTATGATTTTGTCGCAATTTCCATTTTCAGGGGAACTAATAGAATCTCTGATCCACTTGGAGGTGAGATAGGGGTATCTCAATCCGACGGGGAAAGATTCTTAAGTTGCAAACACCAGGCTCTATTAAGCCTTTTGCAACTTAAGAATCTTTCCCCGAAGTTTAAGATTCCCAAACTCACCTCAAGGGGGTGAATGATTCTTTTTTTCTTTCTCATTCATCAATTGTGTATCATATACATAATGTAATGTTAACGTTACAGGCTAAAAATATTGTTGGCGTGACGTCATACAATTGTTATGAAATTAAAATTCAAAATGACAAAAATTAAAAGATCGAAGAAGAAATCAAGTTAATAAACCAATAAATAAAGCTGACAGGCTTAGAGGGTTGTTTTCAAGATCTCTAGAACCACTGCTCGAGGGCCAAAGACTTGATAAATTGAAAAGACTACAAATTATACAAACCTGGATCCCAATAGCCCTGATACACGTACACACTTGGACGAGGTTGGTCTTTTCATATAGATAGTCCGTTTGAAATGAACTTGTACACGTAATTCCATATTCCCGAACCTTTTCCAGAAATATCCCAATTCTTTCCCGGGAGCGAGCAGAGGCAAAAGCTACAGTGTTCGTGGGTTGGAATGCTTTGGTGGAAAAGTCTAGTTTCCGGTCATCTGGCATGAGTGTATCCATAAATCTGCAAAGGCAAAAGTGAACAGAGAGCAACATGTAAAACATCATTAATAGATCTTCAAAACTGTTGCAAAGTTCTAGGTTAATGCATTCAGAGTGTTTTATATAGTTATAGAATGGGCACAAGGGAAATAGTCATTTTACTGTCTCTGAAATGTAAACTATGTCCCCCTGGCCTACACGAAGGAAATAGTTGTCTTGAAGGGATGCTAACGTGACTAATACAAGAAAACTGAAATTACATACTGTAACTATCTAAATATGTACATACCAATGCTTTTTTCAAAGAGAAATATTCTAAAGGAAAAGCACCTTTGGAAGCCTAGTGCTTTCCCTATCGTCTGAAATACTGTATCAATCGATCAGTAACACACCTTTGATTAGCTCCACCCATCGCTCATATGATTGGCTACGTCCATGTTGCGCAATGACATGATGTGGGAGGGGCGATTGGCATGTGATCTCAGCGATTGTTTTGACTGGGCTTTTTTTATAGGGAAATAGTCCTTAAGCTATAGTCGGGTAAGTGAGCTATTTCCCCATGACATAATACCAATCCGTTGTTTTAGAAAATTACATTTACATATGTATTGTCGTTTTATCATTTAACAGGGACAAACATTCAAATTCATATTTATAACAGAAGCTGTGAACCGCTTACATTTTCACGCTTCGCCTGAAAATCAAAACAACTTTGCGAATTTCCCGGTACTTGATAGCGTACTACATTAATGTAACAAACATTTTCAAAGTAATCACCAGAAATGTGAAGAAACGAATGTATTTATAAAGATGATATCATGACGATTTTGTTAGTATGACTATACAAATAACTTCATTCAATACGGTTGCCAATTTGAACAAGTAACTGATCAGGTAATTGGTTATCACGGAAATTTTGGTTACTCATGCAGAGAGGATTAAAATGGATAAATATACAGAAAGTGTGATGATAAGAGTGAACTCATCTTAGCACTACTACAAATAAAGATCACTCCCTGTTCAATATCATTACAATTAATGATTACTCCCTAAACTGGATGTAACATTATTTCCTTTTTGTTTGTGTAACGGTGAATGAAACGCAAAAGCTGTTTTCTCTTTTGGGCTTCACTCCTTACAAATAAAAAAGAGAAAATAAGATGTTTTGATTTAGGATATTTTCACAAATACCTGCACAGGACGGTTCCATCTTTAAGCACGTTATAGAAGAAGTTCATCATAAGTTTTTTATCTTCGTGACATTCGATCTTGAGGTCCATGCCAGTTAACGTCTGTATCCACTCTAAACACTTCTGGGCCTCCCGGCAGTCGAATGTGGCATCTATCTGAAACCACGGAAACATATGAATTAGGTCAAGGTCGCTTCTACTTTACCATGACAGTGTAAAAAAAGTCCAAATCATGTCGACCTGAAATCATAGACTTATAGATAGGGTCAATGCTCGTCTGGGTATCGGGGAAAATGAAAGCAAACCAAGAAAGTCAATGTTTCTATCCGGAAACGTGCAAATTAGTTAGAAATTCTGTTTATGTGAAATTTTCAAAAAAGGTCAAGGACGTATACATACGGATATAAGTGGCAGAATGGCACGAGCTGTTTTGTACTAATCTTTAAAGCCATTCAAACCATTCAATTTTTAATTAACACAGGGTTGTTTGCGACGTAAGTCATGTGACTTTTTGGACTCGTTTTTTTATTCACCTTATGATACCGTATTGCCCTCTTTTCACCTCGATAAACCGTTTTACCATCTATTCACCTCAATATACCGTAATGCACTCTATTCACCTCAAGATACCGTATTGCCCTCTATTCACCTCAATATACCGTATTGCCCTCGATTCACCTCAAGATACCATATTGCCCTCTATTCACCTCAAGATACCGCATTTCCCTCTATTCACCTCAAGATACCGCATTTCCCTCTATTCACCTCAAGATACCGTATGACCCTTTATTCACCTCAAGATCCCGTATGTCCCTTTATTCACCTCAAGATACCGTATGTCCCTTTATTCACCTCAAGATACCGTATTGCCCTCTATTCCCCTCAAGATACCGTATTGCCCTCTATTCCCCTCAAGATACCGTATTGCCCTCTATTCCCCTCAAGATACCGTATTGCCCTCTATTCCCCTCAAGATACCGTATTGCCCTCTATTCCCCTCAAGATACCGTATTGCCCTCTATTCCCCTCAAGATACCGTATTGCCCTCTATTCACCTCAAGATACCGTATTGCCCTCTATTCACCTCAAGATACCGTAAGTCCCTTTATTCACCTCAAGATACCGTATTGCCCTCTTTTCACCTCAATATACCGTATTGCCCTCTATTCACCTCAATATACCGTATTGCCCTCTATTCCCCTCAAGATACCGTATTGCCCTCTATTCACCTCAAGATATCGTATTCCCCTCTATTCACCACAAGATACCGTATGTCCCTTGATTCACCTCAAGATACCGTATTGCACTCTATTCACCTCAATATACCGTATTGCCCTCGATTCACCTCAAGATACCATATTGCCCTCTATTCACCTCAAGATACGGCATTGCCCTCTATTCACCTCAAGATACCGCATTTCCCTCTATTCACCTCAAGATACCGCATTTCCCCCTATTTACCTCAATATACCGTTTTGCCCCCTATTCACCTCAAGATACCGCATTTCACTCTATTCACCTCAAGATACCGTATGTCCCTTCATTCCCCTCAATATACCGTATTGCCTTCTTCTCACCTCAAGTTACCGTATTGCCCTCTATTCACCTCAAGATACTGTATTGCACTCTATTCACCACAAGATACCGTATTGCCCTTTATTCACCACAAGATACCGTATTGCCCTCTATTCACCTCAAGATACCGCATTTCCCTCTATTCACCTCAAGATACCGTATGTCCCTTCATTCACCTCAATATACCGTATTGCCTTCTTCTCACCTCAAGTTACCGTATTGCCCTCTATTCACCTCAAGATACTGTATTGCACTCTATTCACCTCAATATACCGTATTGCCCTCTATTCACCTCAAGATATCGTATTGCCCTCTATTCACCACAAGATACCGTATTGCACTCTATTCACCTCAATATACCGTATTGCCCACTTTTCACCTCAAGATACCGTATTGCACTCTATTCACCTCAAGATATCGTATTGGCCTCTATTCACCTTAAGATACCTCATTTCCCTCTATTCACCTCAAGATACCGTATTGCACTCTATTCACCACAAGATACCGTATTGCCCTCTATTCACCTCAAGATACTGTATTGCACTCTATTCACCACAAGATACCGTATTGCCCTCTATTCACCTCAAGATACCGTATTGCACTCTATTCACCTCAAGATACCGCATTTCCCCCTATTCACCTCAATATACCGTTTTGCCCCCTATTCACCTCAAGATACCGCATTTCCCTCTATTCACCTCAAGATATCGTATTGCCCTCTATTCACATTAAGATACCGCATTTCCCTCTATTCCCCTCAAGATATCGTATTGCCCTCTATTCACCACAAGATACCGCATTTCCCCCTATTTACCTCAATATACCGTTTTGCCCCCTATTCACCTCAAGATACCGCATTTCACTCTATTCACCTCAAGATACCGTATGTCATTATTATTCACCTCAAGATACCGTTTTGCACTCTTTCCACCTCAATATACCGTCTTTCCCTCTATTCACCTCAAGATACCGTATGTCACTTCATTCACCTCAAGATACCGTATGTTCCTTCATTCCCCTCAAGATACCGTATGTTCCTCCATTCACCTCAAGATACCGTATGTTCCTCCATTCACCTCAAGATACCGTATTGCCCTCTACTCACCTCAAGATATCGTATTGCCCTCTATTCACCACAAGATACCGTATGTCCCTCTATTCACCTCAAGATATCGAAAGGCACCATAACGTGTGATCCTTTGTTCACCTCTGTATACCGTATGCTCTCTTCAAGCGTCTAACGCAATGTCTTTAGGTCGTTTAGGACTTTTAATTCAAAGTAATATGAATTAGAAAGGAAAAGACAAAATTCTTGAAAATGTTACAAATTGATTGGGAAGCATCTTTACGAATACGATATAGTGTTTTGGTATGTATTATGTTGGTGCCGGGATAGCCCGAGTTTCCTCTGGCCCCGACACCAGACATTTTGATATTTTGACAGATAGATGTCGGGTGTGGGACACAGCAATACCGATATTGGAAATGTTGGACAGTAACTCGCGTCTTCTGTTTTTTTTAGTATTTATTATTGTTTTTTAATTGTAACATTTTTATGAAATAAGAAAATAATGTACTAGTCAGGTACCCAATTAAGAAATGTCAAAGGTCACATCCTAAGACTAGTCATTGGTCAGTCTACAGTCATGTGTCAAAACATGCACCAATACGTAACACACACAAAACATGACGTGTATATAATATAAAGCTGGCTAGACTCATAAAAGATTTAAACAATTACATTTATCCTGATTTTATTTTATACCTACAGGATATATTTACCTATATTATTATTACTAAGTACACAAAATGTTTATGTATTTTGTATTGAGTTATTGTCTCATGGTGACTGTTTGTTTTCTGTTTTATGTTGTGATATGTAAAATTTTCATGTTCCTGTCTTGATAAAGGGGCAGATCGCCCTGAAATTTTCCTTGTCTGGACTGTCGTTATTACTTCTTTGCCCATATATTTCTATGTAATATATTCTAATTTATAAATTCTACCCTGTAACACTGCGATTTTAATTTCGGTATATTGTTTTGGTATTATCAACACTATTTTTTTCAAATATTAATTTCCTGTCCCGGGTGAACGAAATCTGTACATTTTTAACAGTGAAACTCCCTTTCTACAAACTACAAATGTCGTCTAATACTGACTCCGGGTCAAGGGTTTTTATTGATTTATTAGTCTGTTGTGAAAGTAGCCATAAGTGAGGTATTTAATCCTTTAACAAAGTATTTTACGAGATAAAAATGGCGACAGGGAGCACTTAACTGTTCAACAGTGTCGGGGGATCTATAGCGCACACAATGTTACAATTGTCATTTCGGCGATAATATAATGTCGTCTTGTTATAAAAGGGATGTTGTGATTCGTAAAACTCTACCAAGTATCAGACACGGCGTCTTGATATTTAAGAACTTAGATTCTGGGCGTGAAACACAATGCGGACTTAATGTGGTCATATAAACATGGCATTTCGATAGTCACTTCCGGTTCATGAGTCCTGTCACGTTTAAAAGTGACTTGGTCTATCCACAGGGACCTGAGAGTTTGTTTCAGCTATATTTGGACCTAAACTAAGGTGGTCAGAGTAATTTTACATGTTTTAGGGATTTAGATCGACTATCGAGTAAAATTGCCATCACGAATGATTATTTATACCGAAATTCGATCTAATTAAAACCCCAAAAACATATTAAATTACTCTGAACACCCTAGTTTAGACATGTCACGATATCATGATAATTTGGGGTAGCCTTTTTTTTTTTTTTTACCGAAAGTCGATCTAAACTCTAATTTAGGTCCAAATATAGATGTAACAAGTTCTCAGGTCCCTGTGGGTCTATCTATATACTATATTACAACTGTCATTAGCTACATCTCTGCAATAAGTTATCAAGCTTTGCAGCTTCATGAAGATATGGCTGCAGTACAGAACATTCTCGTGCCGGAAACGCCACCATGCTGGTTTCGTGGATGTACTGGTTCAGTTTTGGTGGTTTAAAAAAAGCCCATATTTCTCTTTAACAATATCCTAATCCGGACATCTGACGGGCCCGAATTCCTGAAACCGTTCTTGTACTAAAAGATCATGGCATCAAGCCCTGTTTCGTTTGCTCTCCCCTTTACTTATGAAATCCTTTATACATTTTCCCTCAGTTCATCGCCAAATTTTCTCTGGGCAAATGGTGGCAGTATAACGATGTTTTACTGTCGATATATCGGCCATCTAGCTGCGAAAACGAAGCATCTGACGACGAGACATTTTTTATATACTGTGTCGTCAGGCAGAGGAGGCCGGGTATATATATATAATGCCGTACTATCAGGCATCGTATGATTGTGTATTCAACTTATAACGCATCTTTGTATTATATAGGTAGGTTACCTATGTACAGGTAAGCACTATCATACAGGTACGTACTGCAACAGCTGTAGAACCTACACAGGTGTTCCTTATATCCTTATGTGACGGAGAACAAAGCACCACGTGACCTTGAATACCTGGTCAACTTAAAACCTAGCGTACCCCATCTTCTGTATCACAGTTACAATGTACATGGATACAAATT